TCTGCCATTACTTTGATGAATAAATACAAAATGTCTATACCTGTGCGTAATATTTTTATGATTGCTTGTATTAACCACAATTCCAGTCTTTCATAAAAAGAATATATAAATATATATATATCATTTTATAAATCTTACTGAATATTACCGGTTGATTAATTAATTGAGCTTGTAATATTTCATCGGATATTGGTACACTATTGGCTTGAGCTTTTTCAAGTTGTTGCCAATCATTAAGAATCATTTGACGAAATGGAGTACTAATATATATATGATAACGATTATATATTATAGAACCATTTACTCCAATAGCTTTGCGTATAAGTTTTTCACATTTAATCACTTTGTCTGGATCAAACATTAATTCGAATACATGCTCTTCTGAACAATATTGTTTTACAAAATCATTCATAGATTTTATAATTGATACTTGACTTAATTTTGGAGCAATTGCTTTTCTATAATATTCAACTATATTTTGACCTTGTTGTTTGTGTTTATTAATAGAACTTAAATAGTGATATAAATATAAAAAATAATTTTTGAAAATAAAATCTTATATTACTTTTGTCGTTCACTCATGATTTCTGTAAGTTCATTATAAGCTCTTTGACAATCTCCACCATATAGAGTATCATTTACTATATCAGGTAAACTTTGTTTGTGAAGACTAAAGAAAACGAAGAAGAAGAAATTAGTAAATCTTTGAATTAATATTAAAAAAAAAAGAAAGAAAAGAAAATTCAACGTACCAACTACGTAAGAGTTTCTCCATTTTATTAAGATTATGATTAAAATTAATTAAATATTCACTGATTAGATCATTTGTTTCTAGTTTTTCACAACAAACTTTATAAGCATGTGCACGTTTTTCATGATGTAAAATCATAGGATCATTAAAAAGAACTTTATAATCTGCTAATGTCTTTGTAATTAACTTTATATCTTGATCGATCTTTTCGTCGGATATTGGTTTACTCTTCGAAGTAGTTATTTGTTTAATTTTATCCGAAGTAATCTAAAGTAAAGTTCTTCATTAAAATTTTATCTTATTCTCATACGAACAAAAACATGTTCAACAAACTACAAAAGTTCATGAAAAAATCTTTCATGTTAAACTGTTTATTAAGTTTGTATCTAATAGGAACAACACACAAATCTAGGAGTTTTCA